TTAACCCTTAAATGCATAGAGTCCCAAAAATGAATCAATAACTTTTTGCGCGGATACCCGACAACAGTTTTGATATCGATACATTTGGCTGAATGGCAGTGATTCCTTTGTCCATTGACTTATCAAAAATTAACTAAAATAATGACATTTGACTTCAATATTTGTATCTTTCTGACGTTATACCAATTGGCGCGCATTTTTGATAGCGGGTTCATTTACGTACTTTTGGAAGTGGATTATTTAGAAATATTTTGGTGTATTCGTTAAACAAACAATATTTTCTAAAGGTAAGGCTCTTATTTATTAATTTGCTAGTACTTTTGTCTATATTCCGTAACTATCATGTGTATGGAGGGCTTATTTCGTGTTGATGCAAAAATGGGACAACATGCACTAATGGTAATAATTACGACATGTATTTAGTACTATGCTTCCTTTATTGGTTTGTTGGTTTTGTTTTGGTGTGGTATGCATGTGGTTTATAATTTTGTTATAGATATGTCATACTAACTAAAGAATTTTTATGTCTATTTTGCATAGTGTACCAAAAATGAATCATTAATATTTTTCAATAAAAACCCTATAAGATATGATTTATAATTTTTTTTAATATTTTTCCCGATTTCCACTCATTTGAAAAATTATAACCCTATTTTTTAAATAAAATTCATTAATTCATGCATTTAAGGGTTAAAATGCTTTTAATTATTACGCTATCTGAAATTGTAACCATTCGATTTTGCCATAAATGCATATAATCCGCAGTTTAGTGATTACGAAGACAATTACGAGGTAAATGTTGATTTTGCACAGGCTTGTACTCTTCGACAATATGAACAATGGGTTCAATGATAACAGTGATAACAATGATAATTTGGATGACATGAGGAAATGTCGCCGAAAATTATTTCATTAAAAAAATGTAAATATTCTTAGCGCGCAAACTATTTCGCTCAAGTTCAGCCCTTTCGAGATTTCACGGTCACGAAGTTTCTCATTTGATAGCCGTCGTGCTTTGATCATGTAACGTAACGTAACAATTAAATTCAAAAGCTATTCACCGATCGTTAATACCGTGACCTTCGGGTGTCCTTGAGTACCACACAAGGAAACCTTGCTCACCTTGAAATTATTGACCAAAACTTCGGCCTTGGAAAACGTTTGTCCATTCGTCGTGGAAGTGTATAAATAAAGTTTCAAGAAGGAAAATTAAAAATAAATTGGGAAAAAGAATTATAATTCTAACAAGGAAAATCATTTAATCTGAAAAGTTAAAAATTGTTTGAGAAACCACCGTATTTATATTCCATTGAAAATGATCTTTCAGTGTACAATATATTTTCATGAAATGATCTCTATATCGATCTAACAATCTTTTTGTTCCTATGATATTTATTTTAACGACGTGGGAGAGCAAATTGTTTATCATGTACCGACTTTGAAATGTTTCTTACTCGTTTACAAATAAGCAAATAAAGAAATGAATAAATAAACAAATAAATAGACGAACAAATATAAATAGATAGAGAAATAAATAAATTACACTTTATTAATTATTCCATTTTTTAGCACGCCATTATTGCACTCGTTTGCCGATCGTGCAACGAGGGTGATTAAACGCGAACTTCTGCACGCAATTGTAGAAAGAAATGCGCCGGTTTATGTCGTTTCCGCAAAGTTTGTTCATTTTTAATTACTCATTTACATATGCGCTAGCCGGTGCGCCGTATGTTTCTGGGCCACACGAATCGTGGGCAACGTTCCATGGAAACGTGATAGTCAAGAAACTGAAGAAGTATATTCTTACATTATTTCTTCATGTTCCGGAGAAATGTAGTTTCAAGTTTCTGTTCTTCAAACGGCCGGCCACGGGCCCGTGGAAATCTGAAATAGAAATAAATTCGTTAGAGCACACGCGGTCGTTCGAATCGTTAACTATGAAAAACGGTGAACATTATTCGTTGTTTTATGACGCTTCCAGCGTCGTAACATTTTCAACGAAAAGAACAATTCTTACGGGAGTTCGACTTTTATTAATTTATGTGGCCGTAAACGTAAATTCTCCAAGACATGTATCTGAGCTTACCAGTAATCTTGATCGAAATGACTACTTAAGCCGTAAATGGATAATCCTATATCGCTTTATTTTTATTAATAAGAGTACAACACGTGCTCGGGAAGCGATCTATGTTTGTTTAGAATTGTCTGTGTTACGCTATTAATGTACAATAAATCGAATATTTTACAGCTGAATCAAACATTAGCGAAGTAATGACTCAATATATTACGCTGTAGCATGCTTTTTTTTATCAAAATCATTGACGTTATTCTTGAAGAATGAGCTACTTGAAACGATCCATTGGTAAAACGATACGGCACAGAGGTTTGCACGGATTTGTTTAAAATTTTCAAAAGCGTAAAATCAATTTTTGGTCAAGAAAAAATTCATTCATTATACACCAAACTCAATAGATTAAAGTAAAGGATGACTCAGTTCAATCCGACGTACAGTTTCTGAGATAAAAAATCATAAGTACAGCCTTGTTAAGAAGCACGACGTTCAGGTAAATACAGAAAAATGGTAAAATTCGAGTGTCTGTATTTTCAAGATAAATTCCAAATTGACAAAATGGTGACAAGACAAGAATAAACATTATACAAGAATTTATTCTGTAGAGTATTCTCGACTTTGTTTAAAAACGTATAAATACGATTAGGAGCAATCAAAACCCATTTTCTACATCGGCAACTATTCTAAGCAGCCGGCATCAATTTTTCATAACGATGATTGTTATGTTATAAATAGTAGACTTTGGATTTTATGCATTTATGGTAAAAATGAATAGCTGAAATATAAAATTATAGAGACATGCAAAGAATTGAATAATATTGTTACACGATTTTCAACACTGATCAAGATTATTAAAAGAAATAATTCACTTTTATTTAATCCCTGACTCTTAGAATCGTCTTAGAAAATTTTCATTTTGTACAAAGATTCGTAAGCTGGTTATAAGCAATCGAAATTAATTTTTCGCTAACTGGTATAAGCAGGCCTCGTCGATAAGAGTTGCAAGCAACCGAAATCTATTGTCTTCAGCAACAATTGTAAGTGCAAATTTTATTGTATCTTTTAGAGATACGGTAAATTCTCGCCAATTGTCCTTGAACGTGTAAACAAAAATGGACGAATTGGGAAGCGAAAATACGATTACAGTAAATTCTCTGAAATTGTTTAATAACTTCTAAACGAAAACAGGCAATTTTTCGAGCCTCGTCGCTCATTTTTGTAGTCGCCGATTGTCAACAATTATAAAAACTATGCTATAAACAATCGTAACCTCTCTTCCCAAATTGTCTACTTTCATTCCCAAGTTCTTTAATTATTTCTCCGTTTTATCAGTTTGTCTACTATCTCTGATCCTATTCGGTTCCATGCGTGTTTACAGCACGTTCCATATGCAGTAAATTCTCCCTAATTGACGCTCAGATTGTGCACAGAAATAGACAATTTGGAAAGAGGCGATAAGATTATTCGAGCCTCGCGGCTCGTTCTTTATACTTGTTGACAAGTCCATCGGTGTAACCAAATCTATTCAATATACAGGGTGTCCCAAAAATGTCTCGCAATCTGGAAATGGCGGGATCCTCGGATTATTTGAAGCAACTTCTTCCTTTACAAAAATTTTCTCCGAGGCACCGTTAACGAGTTATTAACAAAAAATAGTGGCCAATAAGAATCGAGTACGGCTGACGCGAGGCGGCCCAGCCAACCAGTGCACGAAGCCTAATTCCGCTCATTGGCTCGGTCGCCTTGCGCCAGCCGAGCTCGCCTCTCATTGGTCACTGTTTTTCGTTAATAACTCGTTAACGGTACCTCGGAGAAAATTTTTGTAAAGGAAAAAGTTGCCTTAAATGACCTGAGGAACCCGCCACTTTCGGATTGCGAGACATTTTTGGGACACCCTGTATATATATATATATATATATACATATTTTTTTAGACAGATGGATATAGATATTTAACAGTAGATTTACGGAGCCCAAAAACAGCTGTCTCATATTGGTTTATAAAAATAATAGTAAAACATATATTCTGATTTTTAACAAGTGTTATTGTAACAATTGCCGTAAGTAACATATAAATTGAATTAAATAACTCATAAATGTGTGTGTATCTTTACGATACGAATAATTGTAAATTAAAAACTTAGTGACCCGTCATTTTGACGGGCTCCGTAAATCCAGTGTTACGGATTTTTCGTTTCAATAAATTGAAAAATCCTGGGGTTTCAAAATAAATGAACTTTGGCCACTTTCAAAGCAAACAGCCTAATTACCGTCACAGAAGGCGCGAATACAAATGGCCACATCTCAGCGTGGAAGAGAAAAACGGAAAGAAAATTAGTATAGTTCGTCGTCCACCAGCCACTTGTCTCTCCCCGAGTCCGCATCAACGTGTTTCCACCTGCGACGTGTTCGACGAAATCGACTTTTGACCGGCTAAATCCGGCGAACAGGCCATCGTGCGCCAGTGAAATTACATAGTGCGCTCGGGCTAGGTGGATCCGCGGCTGGTTCCACTTTCCTGCGATTATTCCACGTCACTGTCCGGCGGCCGGATCATCGATCATCGGCGTCGGTTCCCGATTCGATCTCTCTGTCACAGGCGGGAAAATACGATTGGCTCGTAGGTTATTTGCGGGGCCCCGATAGCGCGACTCGGAAGAGAAGTTAATGCTATGGCCACTTTATCAAGTTGCAATAAGAACGGGGTGCCACGGGATCCGAGAATGCAAGAACCGAGTTCCTGAGTAATTGCTCCGAGCGGAGGATCCGAGAGAGAGAGAGAGAGAGAGGGGGGGAGAGGGGTGCTGGAAGAAGACAGGCGAGTCGCGAGACTGGCTGGTTCAGCTTCCAGAACCAGAACAACCTGGAATCTTCGCAATCTTAAGTGTGCTTAATTAAAGCATCAGCTTGCTTTAGTCCGGGGGCCGGTTTTCATTAGGGCGGCATTCATTCGGCCGATAAGGTGGCCGGGCTCGCTCGACCGCTGCTGAAAATATTACCGAGACTAGTTTTCTTTTATCCGCAGCGCTCCGCCAGCAGCACCTTGAATATGGCCGACGATAAAATCGAATTTTTTCGCGCGACGATATTGCTGTCCGTGACAGTTTGCGCCTGGAATCCAGCTTTCATGTAAGTCAACAATGTTGTCCTCGTGGCGACGACTCAATGAAAAGTTCGTTCGAACGCGTTGTTCACCCGAAGAAAGGCTGCGCGATTCGTTCTGTTCTGTTTTGTTTCGTGAGTGATGGCTCTGTGAAGTGGGATTGTAAAAATGGCGTTTTAAAAGGTTCTGTAAATGGTTCTGAAAATAAGCTTGATCGAAGTAATCGGTGATGTAACGCGGTGCGCGAGGAATTAGCGAGGGTTTCAGTCAACAAATTCGAGACCAGTAAAGTGATGACTAAAGTGTGGGTTTCTGTGCGAAATAAAGATGTACCAAGCTATAGTGAATACACTGCAATTGTCCCTCGACTTGTAAACAAAAGTGGACAGTTTGGAAAGAAGAGATACGATTGTTCGAGCCTCGCTGTTCGTTTTTATCATCGCCGATTGTCAACGGCTGTAAAATCGAGCCGCGAGGCTCGAATAATCGTATCCACTCTTCCCGAATTGTCCATTTTTGTTTATAAGTTGAAGGACATTTTGGAAGAATTTACTGTAATTGTAAGAATCTTCAGGAGCTGATGATCAATTTGGAATTTTAAAAAATTGCGTCCTTTGGGAATTTTTTTTCCAAAATGTTTAAGACCTTTTTCAGCTAATGTTCCTTTATTTGAAAGATCACGCGTTTCATTACTAATTGTAATTTTGTTATTTAATAATATGCAGAAATGTATAAGTTATGGCAGTTTTTCCGAGGGCTATAGTTGACAGTATTTTGTCCTTGAACGAAGGATTTTTCGAAATATTGATTTTTGACAAGATGGCAGGCGTTCGAAGTGAATGTTTTGATTTTTGATAAAAAAATAGCTAGTTTCTAGGCTATAAAAACCAGAATACTCAAGCGAAAAATATCCTTCGTTCAAGGACAAGGTTTTCGTATGCAAAAAAGCCTGCAAAAACTTCGTCCAAATCGATACGGTAGTTTTCGAGATATTCTGTCCACTGATATTGAAACTGCAGTTTCAAGAAAAACGCATTTAAGGTTTCAACTTATGTATACTTTTAAATGATTATTTTTTACTCGCATGGAATCATCAATTCCAGGCCTATATTAGTTATCATCTGTCGAAATACCAGCTTCCAAAACATTTATTTGTTGTTGACGGCGACTTCGTGCATTGCTTCTTGCGTGCGGCGGTCGGCATATGTTTCGCAAAGCACAATTTTATTTATATATATTATATATTATTTATATTTATTATATTATATTATATTATATTATATTATATTTTATTATATTATATTATATTATATTATATTATATTATATTATATTATGTTATATTATATTATATTATATTATATTATATTATATTATATTATATATATTTTATTATACATTTTAAATCCAAGTCCACGTGTGTTGTCGGTCTGAAATTTGATTTCTCCGTCACACACTTTACCCTTCGCAAGTGTTGAAATTGCTACAAAAACTGTAAGAAAGCTGATGATTCTATATTCCACAAAACAATCTAGCGGTACGATAACGTCTTCGTGTAGTTTAATTTTTTTCTCTGATGTACTGATAGCAACATCTTTCTGTAGTTTAATTTTTTTTCGTCGATATATTGGCACTACCACTTACTGGCACTATTTATCGATTCTTGGATTAAAAATTGGTTTCTGTTTTTTTCGGTCTTATAAACTAAATCA